GATCTTCCCGACCGGGGCACGAACCCGTGTCCCCTGCATCGGCAGGCGGACTCTCAGCCACTGCGCCACCAGGGAAGCCCTGTCAAATGCATTTCAAAGAACATTTTTATTTGCAGAAGTGGAGCATGCTTACTATGGGACATTTAGGTAATATAAACTAAAAAGAATATTAAAAACGAATGTAATTTTCTTTATTTTAAATGAACATATATTGACCCTGATTTACAAGGATGTGAGATTCAAGAAGACGGTACCAGTGGGTGTTTTTTCTTTACTAGAATGTCACAATTAATTGACTGTCATCCATTCCAGAATTCTGGGTATCCCCGCACACTTGTTGAACTAAAGAAGGGAGGGTTGTCTGGATGAATCCCAAATAAATTCAAATTTGGGGAAACATACCTCCAGTGTTAAAGAAGATAAATTTTCGGAGAAATGGAGGAGATGTCTGAGGGTCTTTATTGGCCGTGAAGGCGAGAGGGGCCAGTTGCTTGCTGTTTAGGTATTGGTTGACCAATCCTGTTTGAACTGAGATGCTTTTTATCGTTGTGCTTGTACTGGAAAAAGAAGAGCATAATTGAGGGATGTAGGATCCCCTGCGAAGAATTTTCATGCCAGAGGTTGTGTGATAAAAATGTGGCATAGGGCTTCCCTGGCGGCGCGGTGGTTGAGAGTCCGCCTGCCGATGCAGGGGACACGGGTTCGTGCCCCAGTCCAGGAGGATCCCACATGCCGCGGAGCGGCGGTGCCCGTGAGCCATGGCCGCTGCGTCTGCGCTCCGCGACGGGAGGGGCCACAGCAGTGAGAGGCCCGCATACCGCAAAAAAAAAAAAAAAAAAAATGTGGCATAGTAACTCCTTGAGGTCGGGTGGCATAAAGGAGCATCCCCCAGATACACCTGGGACCCGACCTTTTCCCTCTGCTTTTACTGCTGTCAGCCCTGTTGTCTTGGGTAAATCAGTCATTCCATTGGTAAAGTAACCAGTATGCAAACTGTACCCCAAAACTTCTTTTTCCGCCTGTGGTGGGGAAAAAAAGTCCATAAAAAGTTACCCATAGCTCAGAATTGAGCACTCTACCAATATCTAGGGATCCCTGTGATTTATATTCATGCACCCAGTTAAGTAGATGGATGGTTGAGGAGAGAAGGTAACTTGCTTTTGGAGGGATCGACTGTAACTGGCCCAACTAAGAATAGCTCTTTTTTTTTTTTTTTTTTTTTGCGTTACGCGGGCCTCTCACTGCTGTGGCCTCTCCCGCTGCGGAGCACAGGCTCAGCGGCCATGGCTCACGGGCCCAGGCGCTCCGCAGCATGTGGGATCCTCCCGGACCGGGGCACGAACCCATGTCCCCTGCATCGGCAGGCGGACTCTCAACCATTGCACCACCAGGGAAGCCCAAGAATAACTCTTTGATTCCCAATAGTCTTTAAACCAACAGGCATTTTCTTTTCCTGATCGAGAACTGCTGCATTTATTGAAGTCTATCTTTAGACTCCTGATGTAATTTCTGAATCACCAACCATTTCTGAGACCACGAGATAGTTAAAAGTAAGCTAAGAAATATTAACTGAGACTCCCTGAAGACTGCAAGGGAAACGAAGGTACCACAGCAGAGGTCTACTGTGGAATTTCTCTCCTGTAGTTCTTGCACTTTGAAAATGACATGATCTATCTGTCCCAAGGAATAAAGCCTGATCCATTTAAATAGCTGCAAGTGATTTATCAGAAATGTGCTTATTTGGAAGGTTTAGCAAGACTGCTTACGGGAGGTGGTGGGGTTAACTACCAAAATTGTGCATAACTCGGATCCTGTGTATGGCAATTAATCAAGAAATTATATTCTTTGACTTTCTAACAACCCACACAGAGTGCTACATCTGTGGCGTGTTTAAATAGAGAGAGAGAGAGAGAGACGAAATATTTCTTCTAATAAAATGCTAATGGTTTTGTTTTGGAGAAAAATATTGAATTATTAGGGTGTTAGATTTATCTGCAGGAGGGTTTCTCAAGTCACAGTCCATAAGGACTTAGGACAGAAAACCGACTATTTCCTGAAGCTGATTTTCCAGTCCTTTAAATGACTTCAGGATGATGGCAAGACTGCTTTGTGATGAAGAGGTGAGAGCACAGGAATAAACGTTGTTACAGGAAACTGTAGCATCCCAGGCCATTATTGTGGGCGTTTCTTAAATTTTCAAGAGTATTACTTAAGACAGCACATGGGAGTATGTTAATAAAGACAGGGAAGGCATTCCCATTGATCTGTGGTGTCCTCTGTGGGTGTAACTTGCACCTACTTAACTACTCTAGGACCTGAGGGTTTAAAGCAAGGATTGTTGGCCAGTGCCTCCTCTGCTTTGGAACCCAGAACTTACAACTCTCCTTGAGGCTTACTTTTACAAATTCAGTTTCTGAAAACTTAAAAGAGGTGCCATTACCATAAAAAGAAAAAGTTTTCGGCAACCAGAGTGGTCCTGTAAATGTCTTTTTCACTCCTGGGGTCCTTTGTGATGTGTTTCAAGTGGTTAGTTTTAAAGTTTCATTTTTCCATCCTGAGCTTTTTAACAATTGCAATTTAACAAACATTTACGGAGCATCTCCTTTGTGGCGACACTGGGCAGGAGACAGAAAGCTGGAATAGTAGCTGACCTTTGCCTATCAGGATCTCATAGTGCAGCAAAACAGAGAGAGTCCGAAGAAATATTTATAACGTAGTAGATGCAACGCTAACAAAAACGCCTGGTGCTGGACGCTTACTGTGCGCCTGGCGCTGCATCATTATTCTATTTTTCAGACAAGGGAGCTGTGGCTTGGAGAGAGGGCAGATCCTGTAGTTAACAAGAGGAGGGGCCCGCATTTAAAGGAAGCTCAGTGTGGGTCTGGTTTCCTGTTATCCTTCACTCACTTACTACAGTAGAAGCATGGATGAAGCACTACCCTAGGTCACCGCTGACCTTGATGTAGTGCTTTCTACACGTCAGGCTCTTTTCACCCATTGCTTTGTGTAAACCTCACAACACCCTATGCAGTAGATACTGTTATTATCCCCTTTTTACAGATTAGCAAACAGAGGCTTTGATAGGTTAAGCAATTTGACTACGGTGGAGCAGGTAGTATCAGAGAAGCAATCTGACTGTAGGCTCTTAACCCCTAAACCTAACTGCTCTGGAATAGAGGGAGACATCGTTTCTGCCTGGGGTGGTGGATAGGGACAGAGATTGGAGCAAACAAGGTATAAGGTGGTGAGAGAAAGTTAGAGACCTGCTCTTCATTAGGACTTGGAAGATGATAAGACTTAATCCAGCATTCCTCAAATCTGAGTCAATTGAAAGATATATTCTTTGTTTAATTCTTATTGGAGTATAGTTGCTTTACAATGTTGTGTTAGTTTCTGCTGTACAGCAAAGTGAATCAATTATATGTATATACATATATCCCCTCTTTTTTAGTTTTCCTTCCCATTTAGGTCACCACAGAACACTGAGTAGAGTTCCCTGAGCTGTACAGCAGGTTCTCATTAGTGATCTATTTTATACATAGTAGTGTATGAAGGATGTATTTTTCAACCTTCCTGAAATTTCTTTGAAAGTTGTAGATCTTAATTTTAGTGAGAATCTATTTGATTCCTTGCATTGTGAAACTCTAACATAATGTCTGGGAATTCAGACTTATAAAACTTGTGTGGAGGTAATTTTTTTTCTTTTGAAATAATTGTAGATACATAAGAAGTGGTAAAAAACAGCAGAGAGGTAGCGCATACCCTTGACCCAGCTGCCCCTAATGGTAACCTTTTACATAACCATAGTACATATCAAAAGTGAGAAACTGACTTTCACAAAATACTCTTAACTAGACTATAGACCTTATGTGATTTTGTTGGTTTTTTGATGTGCACTATTGTTTTGTACAGTTCACATGTATAGATTTGTGTAATTGCTGAGGTAATGCTTTTTAATGCTGGACTAAAGAAACAGGACAATAAAATGTTTTGAACCCTCAATTGTTTTTGTATGACATTGTTATGTTTAGGGGTTACTTTGTTGAATACTCTTTTAAAATAATTTGTTTTAATTGAATATTACCATGATGCAAAAATGATTATTCCTACTACAAAAAGGTTACACTTTACAGAAATCGATTCCCCTGAGAGGATATGAAAATGATACCATTAAAAAAAATAAGGTTCAAGAACACGTATGGATTAATCCTTACCTGTTAGATTTAATTTCTAAACATTTGTAAATGGAAGTGACAGACTTTTGATTTTTCTGTATATTTCAAACAATGAGCAGTAAATCCTGTACTGAGGTGCATATTGAAGGACGTGCCTTATATTAACACAGACTACAGTTCATTGTAATTCTGTGCTTTTTGTTTTGTAGCTTTTTTTTCTCAGAAGGATATGCAGGCAAAGCCCCCAGGTTTTCAGTGTGTTCCCCAAAGCCCCAGATACAAGAGCTTAAAAAGGGGTTAAATTTTAATGAAAACATACCCTCTCATCAGTGTGCTTTAAATTATAATTTTAAAAGCCAATCATTTTCTTTTTTGACTGACATGTGGCATTTTGGAGAAATTTTCAAATCTTCCAAGTCTGTAAGAGATGAATTTGGGGGGCTTGTAGGTACTGTATTTAGAACAGAAAAAAAGGATAGCTCATGTTGAAGGGGTTGAATTAAAACTATTTGTAATTCTGCATCACAAAGAGACACAATCCCAGAACATCCATTTATATGTACATCTGTGCTTCTGTCTCTGACCTCAGCTTTCTGATTTCTGTCTCCTTTCTTTACAAAATCTTCACTTATGCATAGATACACACATTAGAGAGGAAATTGGGACACATGATTTAGGAATGTGCTAATTAATTCTCATTATGTCCTATGAACGGAGAAAAAGAAGTGAAAGGTTGTCTGCCTATGCATGTACACGATGTATATTCTTCCACATGGTTTTTTTCTGAGGGAAAGTTATATCCATTTTTTCCCCCCTTCTCCTTAGGTTCTCACACACAGTGACAGCTAGCAGCGTCCAAAGTGCTGACATGATGACTTAGAGATGTGATAAAGAGAAACATCGTCGGCATTTTCTGTAAGTAACTGTGGTTCCTGCATCCAGAGAACACACGTCATCAGATACCTGTTCTTGAGTTTCTTAATTTAAGCATCGTGATTCCTAATGAGCAGGTAGATTGCATCCATTGTTGCTTTGTCTTTGGTTATCAATGATGATGAACCTTTGCTAAACAAAGATCTGTAATCCAGCTCGGGATACTCATGGATTTTTTTTTAAGGTTTTAACATTTGATAATAGGTTTTCCAATAGCTTGAAGGGTAGCTTTTAACATTTCTTTTCCAGTTGAAGTATTTCCTGAGTTCTGTCCAAGCCCTCTATAGTTAAAGAAAAGGCTTTTTGACATTTAATAGACAATGTTGTGGCTTTTTCTCTTCTTCAGACAAATGTATAGGCATTTAAACAACCACACCGTACTCTCGTAATTGAGACACCTGCAGAAATGGCAATTACAGGGTGATTTGTGTCAAAAATAATCAGAATAAATTGTATTTTACCTGAGTTTTTAAAACTTTCAAAGGTACCTCTCTCTTTTCTCTCTCTCTCTCTCTCTCTCTTCTTTCTTTTAAATATTAAGTAAACGCTTTGCATTTTCACATTTTGTCCAAGTTGTCCCAGGTTTTCTCTGGGTTTAGCAAAAGTCCAAAGGGACTGCTCAGAGCAAAACAATCAGTGAGGACTAAGGTGTTCTTCGTTCCTGAAATGAAAACAAAACAGATGTTCAGGACGCTCTGTTTTGCTCTGGCTCCCAGCTTGGCTGCTTGTTCTGAGAATATTCTTGCTCCCAAGTTAGTTCTAGTTTTGTTTATTTCGTCCTGAGCTTGGCGAATGTTCCAAAGCCATCCTCTTCAAGCAACACTTTTTTTTTTTTTTCTTCTGTGAGCTGAGTTTATTTTGTGCTCAGCCTTCATTCCATGGGTCCTGTGAATAATTCTAACACAAAGGAAAAGTCTCCTTCTGACCAGTGAAAGGGGAGTCTGGGAGGACAGATAAAAATTGTAGCTTTAATCCAAAAAGCAAAGGGCTTGGGAAAAGAGAGAAAAGGAGGGGAAAAAAAAAAAAAGGAAAACCTTTTAATGAAGATTTCAGTACAAAACAGGTGTCTGATGAAGCGTAAGCAAAATAAACAATAAGAAACTCAGCAAGATAAGGGCACATCCTTGACACACATTTTAACTGCTGGGTTATTTTCATTTATGAAGCAAATATGTATTTCTACAAATTTGAATGTAGAACAAATGTTTATATATTGAAACCTATGATTTTGTTTTGATTGATAGTATAAAGTGGGGTAATACTCCAGTTGAAAACCATTCTTCATTGGGTTAAGTGTTCATTTTTTTCGTTACAAAAATGGTTAAAACGATCTTTGACCTCTGTGGAATGTTGAGAGCAGTGAAATTTCTGGTTATGGAATTATCCTCCAACTGCCTTATAGGGAATTTTTCAAAAGTTAGAAGGCAGAGGAACTCTACTCTTTGATTTACATTCTTCCAGTGTTCAGTCAAAGATGAATAAAAAATTAGGACAGCATTAGAGTACAGGAGCCTAGTGGTCCTACTTAGGAGGATCACACTAATGGTAACAACAAAAGGGCACTCTTTAGACCTAAATTATTTGTGATCGCAAATGTACAGGTACAATAGAATGGAATTGTTCTATCCTTGTAGTCTTAGGCATTGATACATTTCTTTTTGAGGCTATGGAGAACAAGAAAACAGCTAGTTGACAAGTGAAATATTCAAAGCATGAAGGGAAGGAAATAAAATTTATTTCTTCATTTAGTGAGTGCCCACTCTTTGCTGGTTTTGTGCTAGTCGTAGGGGATACCGGCCAAGACAGATACAGTTCCTGCCCTCATGGAGCTTATATTCTACCAGAGAGATGGACCAGGGAAAAAAGTAGTAAGCAAGTGTGGAGAATGGGCAAGGATTTACTGTACAACACGGTGAACAATATTCAGTATCTTGTAATAGCCTATAATGGGAAGTAACCTGAAAAAATAGTTGTGTATGTAACCAGATCACTTTGCTGTACACCTGAAAGTAACACCATATTTTAAATCAGTTATACTTCAATTAAAAAAAAAAAGTGTGGAGAATGGGGAGTAGTGAGTGTTACGGGAGCATTCTGAAAAATGAGATTCTTGCTTTCACTGGCTTTTCTTTCATTTCTTCCATCCCCTCCCTCCCTCCCTCCCTCTCTCTCTCTCTCTCTCTCTTTTTTTCGGCCCTCTTTTCCTCCCTGCCTTCTGTTTCTCCTTCTTCTCTCTTCTCCCTCTTTTTGTTCCCTCTTTGTTCTTCTCCTCCCTGCTCAACGTTTTTTTTTTTGCCCCCCCAAACAATTTAGCCAAGCTCAAGTTGAAAAAGAGAAACAATCTCACATTATTTAGAAAGAGGCAGCCTCTTACAGTGGTTACCATCCCAGGCTTGGAAGGCTGTGACCCAGATTGGAATCCTGGCTCTGCCATTAACTAGTTCGCAGCCTTGTCTAACAGAAATGTCCTCCGTATCTTCTTTTATAAAACACAGGGCTGAAGATACTTCCTTCAAGGGAATGTTCTAGAGATTAGATGGCATACTGTAAGTAAAGTCACTGGCTCAGTTCCTGATGGATAGTGAGTGGGCTAAAATTGTAAGCTGCTGCTATTTTAGTATTACTATTACCATTATTATTTTGCCTTTTATGTTCTAGGAGCAGTGTCTATATTATAAAATAGCTAATAGCGAATGATGTATTAATCAATCGAAAAATTTTCTCTGAAACCAACCAACTAGCTTTGATATTACGTAATTCCTTTTGTTAGGTTTTTTTGCCCATTCACAAAAGCAGGTTTTCGGAATGTTAAAGTTCAAAACCATCTTCAATAAAGTAGGTTGTTGGATAAACCCTTAAAGGCTCTGCCAGATTAGACGGGATTGCTGTCTTTTCCTTCAGACGTTCTGAAGACGAAAGATTGAGCCAAATTTCAATGAGCCCCTTTAAGCGACAGGGAAATTTATTAATATTTGAATCAAGAGTGATTGAGACATATTCTTCAGTGTGTCCATATAGAGGAATAGGATAAGATCTTCTTGTGTCTTGTGAAATCAGTGTTACTGTATTATAGACAGACCCTGTAAAGGTGCTGGGTGAATATGTATTTATAATTTGATAGCACTGCAGGTGAACTTTAAAAATGAAAATTGTTATACATTTTTAAAAGTCAGGGTGTCTTTTGGTCAGTCTTCATGAGAATTTTTCTCTTTCGCACGTGCTCACATAGCCTTCCCCACGTTTTGTCTTCCCCCAGCAAAAGATACGAAAGGTAAAGGTGACATAGCCATAGACAGAATTCAGGTCTTTCTCTCTGTGTATACTGTGGATGCTCCTGCCCACCTCCCCCTCCCCCAGCCTAAGATTTAGCATCGCCAAAAATCTCTCCCATGACTCGTCCATTTACCTTTCAGCCTTCTGTTTTGCCTGTGTGGTTCAACGCGCCTGAAATGCCCTTCCCTGCCGGATTGAAGTGTTACTTATCTCTTAAGATCTGATTCTAATGTCATCGATTGTGTGATTTTTTTTTCCCAGACCCCTGGGCAGAACCAACAGGTCTTATCTTAGGATCTCGTAGCACTTTGTTCCTCTCCCTTGTACCAGATAGCTGCATAAGTAAGTGTCTTTCCCTGCCCCCCATATACCTTGAACTCCTCAATGGTGGGGTCTCTGTTTTATTCACCTTTGCACAAAACTAGATTCATGTCTTCAAGGAGTTCCCAGTCTGGGCAGGGAGACAGACATATAAACACACCATGGTATGTCAGTTTGGAAAGTGATATAAAGTAATTGTCTAAATTAGTGCACACAGATGAGCACTAATTTACTAAAGGACCCTGTTTTCTCATGTAAGAAAGGAGCAGTAGGCATGTAGGTGTAGTGTGTTTCTTAAAATAGCAATGTTTCCCCCTGTGTTTGTATCAATATTTATGTTATTGCTTGTGCTCTTAAAAAGAAAAAAACCTCTCAAATGACATTGTATATCTAATGTTAGTGATGAGGAATTTAGGAGTCTGTTGAAACTGTGAAATACAGCAGGCGTGATGCTTGGTTCTCCAAACCAAATAAAGTATCATTGAACCTTAGCTGTAAGCTAAGACTTTAAGTGCCATTTATTTGTTGAGTTTTGCCACTCTAAATTGCTCACTCTGGCACAAGACCTTTAAAAGTATTTATAGTTTAATTGGTATGTGGTTTATTTTAACTTATATTAAAATGACCTGCTTATATTAAAATGACATGTTTTCCAAAACCTAATATTGCCTTCAAAACATTGTTCTCGTGGTGAAAGATTTCAAAATGTTATTGTAAAAAGCAAGGGAAAGGATTTCAGACAAACACACAACCCAGGTCTCAGTATTTTTGTGTGTGTGCAGTTCCCAGGACATAATTATAAGATCGTTTTCTCTTTTATATATGGCCAGTGTTTGGGGCTTTTGGAAAAATTTTTTTTAAATTATTGTTATTTTTTGGTACCTGTCTTTTTTTATACTCACTCTGAGTTAGTCAAATTACAGCAGGCTCCTGACACCATAACCTTTATCCATATATAGCCAGCGAAAGCTCTCTGCTGTTGAACTTAGGAAGACTTGAGAGAAGGAAAGCGTTGCTATTCCTGAACAAATTGAGAGAGTTTAGAAACATTATTTGGAAATGTGCTTCCTTAAAGTCAGAAGAACTTAATTAAGTTCCCAGGGTTAATTGTTTCTCAAGTGTTAACATGTCATTTGTCTATTCAAACTCCAAACCAAATCTAATACGGGATTTAATAACCTGTTTATGAGAATAGAAATTTGGGGTGGGGATGGCGTGGGAGAAGAGGGAAAAGCTAATAGGCTTTTACCTAGTTAGTGGGTTTAAGGAAGAATTCTTTGTGTCTTCGTTTGAAACAAAAGGCACATCCTAGGTTCCAAACTCCTTCCATTTGCGAGTATAAATTGGGATGACAAGGAAGTTTCGGAACAAA